ATGATGAGGGCAATGAATGTACAAATGTGCTTTACACAATTGATGTATGTATGGATTGTGATAACAGTTGTCAGAGCACCCAATAAAATGATTTTAAAAATAAAATAAAACATTAAAAAAAAAAAAGAGGACATTAAGAGCCAGTTAGGAGGCTGTTGAAACAGGCAGGGGAGAATGTTGACGAAGGTCATGATGTCAATGTTGGGGAGGAGCAGACAGAGCGAAGTCAAAATCATGGGGGCAGAACTACGGAGCTTGGTTCTGGTGTGATGTAAGTGAGACGGTGGAAAATCAGCTAAGCAGGAGTCTGAGATTTGAGCCTATGTGAGTCCTGCTGTGGTATTCTAAGGTAACGTATTGAGACAAGTAGGAAACAGAGAAAGAGAAGCAGAAGTGTGGGGAGAAAAGCATAATTCTGGATCAGGACATGCTGTCTTCAGCAGACCCAGGGTGAAGCAAACTGAAAAAGCTGGTCTGGAGCTAAGGAGAAAAGAGAGAAAGGTAATTACAATTTTGTCAGGTGCTGATGTAATAGGTTGTTCAAATGCTGGGATTAAAGAGGTCGTTCAGAGAGAACATTTCAACCAACGACAGAGAAAGGGGAAGGATGACACTTTGAAAAAGCCACCAGTTTTGGAGAGGGAACCAGTGCAGGAGACAGGGAGGAAGTGATGGCCTATTTGGAGGAGAAATCTTTGGGGACAAAGTCTATCGGTAAGGTGAAGATGAAAGTGTGTCTTAAAAACTAACTACGGTGCGTCCAGACACTCTGGTGACTCCAGAAATACAACAACCCAACAGTAACCCTCTCCAGGGAACAATAGCTGTTTCAAAATATGACTGCCCTTTTAATTAAATTGCTGTAATTACTTGTGCCTCTAATTAAATGCTTGTCATATCCTGACTAGCATTCTGAGACTACCACTCACTCCAAAGCCAGAAGAAATAAAGGCCAGGGAAATTTTATTATGACCATTTCAGATGAGACAAACAGGCAGGATGGGCATATGGTTTAGTATGAACCCACTGATTTATTCTTCCATTAAGCGGCTATTAAACATTTTATTTGTAAAAACGGTTCGCTAGCTACATTGTCCAAATTCATGGTATAATATTGTATGCCTTTGTCTCTTTACATTTGTTAGTCTGATCAGTTTTCTATTTTCCTCTAAGTAGGCACAGAAAAATCCATCTATTTCCGCTGATTTCTCCAGTGATTAGAGTTAAAAGATCGGGACTCTTTTCTTAGGCCTGAAATGCTTTCCATGTTCACATCTTCACATCAATCAATGAGCCAGACAGTGGACCCACTTACTCATGGTTACATGCTTCAGGAATGACAAACATGCAGAAATCACCTGCCCTCAGCAGGCTTAGAATTGATTTACATGAAGAAATTTGCACCTAAGTATTCAGGTTGGGAGTGTAAAAGTAGACACCAATGAAAGACACCATCCTAAGAAATATAGCAATAAATAAACTAGTCACCACCACCCCACCCCAAATAGACCTAGGACTTGACCTAGCAGGCCAGTAACCATGGAGTTGATTCTGACTCAGAATGAGCACACTTTGCAAGAAGAGAACGATGCTCGGCAGCACTTTCAAGGGCTGAGCTTTCAGAAGCCCATTATGAGAACTTCCGTTCCAAAGTGCCTCTGAGTAGACTTGAACCTTAAACCTTGTGGCTAGCAGCAGAGCACGTACCACAGAAGGACTTTTCATGAGCAGAAGGGGT